CATTGAATGAAAACACTAAGAAAACACTGAGAAGAAGAAAGGAGATTGGACGCTGCAACCTTCCAAGAATTACACTCCTAGCGCATAAAGTATTCGGTATCATGGTAAAAACACACAACGCAATTGGCGGTAGTAAGGCGGAGTCCGAATTATACCACAAAGAGAACCAATCAGATTTTACCTTATAAAGTAGGATACCAGGGCAGGATATTCGATTAACCAATCCTGTCCTTTAGGTATCAGCTTGAATGCATACGTATATACGACATCTTTAATGAATCACGACCGTATTTGACATTACATTCAATTATTTGTTAATTGCACGCAAATATAAGTTTGAATTACATTAAAATTGTAATAAAGAAATAAAATTACGCAATTCACAGATTGGTAATAATTTACGAACAATAACGAAAAAATCTCATTCTGGAAATTTTTAATTCTACTTTTTATGATTAGTTATTTAAGACACAATTTTGTTTAACGATTTTTATAATTAACAAAAAAAAAAGCATTTCTTATTTAATAGAATGAGAATTACAAAAAAAAAACTTATTGTTCGATAGTGTTTGCTTTATATTTTTACTATAATTCATACATTAACGATATTAACAGTATGTGATTATTAAAGATTTATAGTAAATAACTTCATGCTTACCTTATAATACACAGACAATGAATTAGGTTTCGTTGTTTTAAGATTACTAGTTTAATAAAGATATTTGCTTTATCCTTAATTTTAATTAAATTTTAAAAGCTCCACGACTATAATAATAAGATAATTAATATATAACACAATTCAATGTATTTAAACAAATACATAGAAAAAAATAATTTTGCATGTTAATACTTAACAGTAAATAAGAATTATATAATTCATTATATTATATTGTAATACATTGTGTTAATAAACACTTTTTATACTTGACAAATATGAAGGGATACAACGTGAAAGAATAATATTTAAATGAAACATTATGTAGAATATAATCAAACTGACAACAATTTACATATCTACACAATTTACTTTGAACTACAATTTATTTTAAAATGTGCAATACAAAATGAGGAAAAGTATATAGTTTTTTATAATAAACATAAAAAAAAGAGTACTAACAATATAGAAAACTATGATGTAAAACTACAATAGATTAATAAGAAATGTCTGAATTTGAACAAAGTTACAAATTTTTATTTTGAATGTAAATTTATGAATGTGATATAACATCATAGAGTTTTGTTCTAGATTAAAGTGTCAAAATTAAGTTTCAATATTGTTAAATTAAAAAAAGACATAAGCAATTTATACAAACTTTTAAGATACTATTATTGAAAATCAGCATTTAACATTAATTAAGTATGACTCACTGTAGTGTACACGTTAATCCCATTCTCCTGGACATTCCATGTAAATCTACTGCACGAATGTTCGTTTAATCGTTATCTTGGTGTCCATTTTGTTTGGTTAATTACTGAAGAGGCGTCAGTGCTGCCGTCGATTACGTTGACACAACATAATGGCTCTTCCGTGATTGGAGCACAGTATATGTCAAAAATTCTAGTATTTTAAATAGTCTTGCAAATAATCACGCAAGTTTGAATTTTATAGGATCACTGTAAATAGTTATAATGAAATTTAAAACGTTTAAATAGTAGTGCACATTTCTATTTATATTTCGCATATTGACCGCTCCATCTTTCCAACAATAACCCAATTTCGTAAACGAATAGACAAGAAACGAAACGCTTATGCCTATAAACGCACCGATGGTGTCGACACTTTATGGTATGATATGTTGAACTTCCAAGCAATGGGATGCCATAATTTGGTAAATTTAACTAATTTTTTATAAAATTATTCTTATAATAATAATAATAGTACAAGTATCATTTTTCTAACGCATCATCAAACGTTTTTCGAGTATATCTTGTTTTTTGAGTAAAATTTGTTTATAATACTTTAGTATGTTATAAAATTTTATCTCATTGTAATATATACACACACCACACACACACACATATATATATATATATACACACATTATATATATACACATACGCATATATCAATTAGATTTTAATAGCAGTGTGTATATTTTAATGTAAACAAATCAAATTTTATAATAAATTACAATTTTAAATGTAACAGATAAATATTTCAATAATAAAAATTATACACTTATTTTATATTTAAAAGTAGACAATAGTATTTTAGATTTCATTAAAATTTAGTTACAATTTAACTATTTTCTTTGCTGTAAAACATAATAGTAGAAAAGTGCAAACGTATTTATTGCATAGAAATCAGCCATTACATGCACAAAATCATACATGGATTTCCATTCTGTAATTTTACGTAAATCTGTGTTGTACATGTAGTTTCGATAGTGTTGTGTTTGAGTATTTTTTTAGACGTGCATATTTTATCAACGAGGATATACATTAAACCTCCACAGTGAAGAGTCAACTGAATTATCATATTTAAATCTTTATAAATTTACAATAAATGAAAAATAAAATAGTTGTGTACAACTAATGAACCATACAAATAATTTTAATATATTTTATTAAAAAGCAAACCATAACTCGTACGTATTTTATAAAAATACACATATTATTTATTGCAATTTAACTTTTTTATCGTTATATTTAAGTGTGAAAACATAAATTTTAATGAAGTTATTAATTTTCTATTTTGTTTTATTTATGTTTAATT